TTAAACTTTAAAATCCGCATTCTTGTTGATTCAGCTACTAAGATGAACAAACTGTTTGCACTCAAAGCTACTCCATTCGGAAAAACTAAACCAATCATATAACACATATACCTTTCTTGTATATGGATCATATTTTAAGAGCCTTCCTGTTCTATACCAAGGAATCAACATCCCTACACAACCACAAACACATAAATAATTATATCTACATGTGAATATACTGAAATTGATGACTAAAGATATATATATATATAAAAGATAACATACTTTCTTTGAAAAAGATAACACTGGAGATTAAACTTCAGAACTCGCATCATTATTGATTCAGCTACTAAAATGAAAGTATTGTTTGCACTAAACCATCAAATAATATATATTTATTGTATATGGATCATATTTTAGGAGCCTTCATGTTCTATAAGTAGACCTTAACAAAGAATCGACGTCCCTAAATAATCACAAACACATAACTAATTATATATACATATAAATGTAATGAAATTGATAATTAAAGATAGAGAAAAAAATAGCATATCTTCTTTGAAAAATAGTGCTACTATCAATGAAATATATTTTTTCAGTCTTAGTATCAATATCAATACTATTTGTAAATCAAAATGAAATTCCTTTGACTGATGTAGTCAATCTTTTAGCTATGCCAATATACGATCTATCGACGAATAAACCATTGTCAGGCCCGTAGTTGAGCCTGGGCAGGAGGGACACATGCCGAGAGCCCAAAATTTAGAAGTCCACTAATAATTAAAATGGGTGAATTACTTATTTAGTCATTTGTTTATTGCTTCATTTTTATTTTGATCATTAAATCATTATTATTTTTTAAAATCATACGAAACATTACATTTTGTTTTTGTTTTGGCCTCATAGTTAGAAAATTGACAAAGATGATGAAGTGATATTTTGTTATTTTTTTTTATTTTTTACGTAATTATTCTTTTATTATCTTTTTACAAGATGAAGATGGCTAAAATCAAACATCGATCCTCTTAGAAGAATGTCATATTTGTTTTATGAGAGTAGCTAGATGTTTAATAAAAATTTTTAATGTTTTTTATTTGAAATTTTATGTATTTATTAGATAATTTGTTAAGCGTAATAAATAATACAATTTACAAATAAAATAATTTATTTGTGCTTACTCTTGCAATTAATTTTTCAATATTTGTTGAAGCTAATATGATTGCTGAATTTGATATTTAGGAAGAAGCTGCACAAATGGATGTCCATTGTTTCCATATGTAATGGGATAAGGGGGAGGTAAGATAGTAGGCTGCCCCCAACACCAGGTTAAGAGCAGCTTCCGTAGAAGACCTCCGAATTATGAAATGCCCTCCTTGGGACTCGATCCCACGACCTCAAGGTTAAGAACCTTGTGCTCTACCAACTGAGCTAGATAGTCATCTCAAATGGCTACGTCTGGTGGAACTCATGACTAGATCAGGTATTTTTCTATACTTCAGATTCCAATTATGTGAGGCAACGATAGTTGCTTTATTCGTATTTTGCAGCCAACAAGTTCAAGAGAAAAATCTATAATTTATTATTTCATTTTGTCCATTTAACAGTCTAATAAGAAAAATATATAATAAAATATTTTTATGAAATATTTAATATTGTTGTATCCTCGAGATCTGAATTAAAAACTTTGATTAAACTGAAACAAAAATTATTAAAAATAGTAAAAAAATATTTACTTAAATACTAAGATAGCTAAAAAACTGAAATTCTAAAATTAATACATTGATATAATTTTAAAAAAAATCTAAAAATCCTAAATTTCAAAGTACCTAAATTCTAATAGTATAAAAAAATATTCGATTAAACATCCAGAACGCTAACGTAAGGTTTTGTAACAGATCCGATGTATAATTTGCTTTTAAACTCTTTAACTTCACTGATTGAGTTGAAAGCAATTGCACCATTCCCATCCAAACGCTTCAAAACTTCAGCTTCTTGGTTAAATTTTATTGATTCCTATCAAATTTAATTATGTATGTTATAATAAATACGAATATATGTATATATATGAAGTGTTCTATCAATTGAAAATGAGAAACAAATCTTTGTGATACTTGATAAGTAGATAATGTTTGAAGGTCTACGTGGTACATTAGTCTTTGGGTTTGTGTTTGGTGTGAGTGTTTTGATCATATTTGGAGAGGTGTGTGTTTTCTATTGCTACAAGTACTTCGATATGGTTGCAGTGTACAAAATTAATTTCTCAATGTTCTATAATGGAAAAATTATTTTTCGATAATTATTTTGGTATTTTAAATTTTTAAAATTGAGATTGATTTTATTATATAAATAGGATTAAAGTATAAACAACCTTGAAATTAGTTTAATTAGGACTCACTCATACATACTTTTTGCACTTATAACAATGAAAAACTTTCATCCCTATTTATAGAATTTATTGATCATTAGATTGTGGATACATGTCAACATCTTAGTTATACTGACCTTACAAGTATCTAGATTATTCTAGATTTTAGTGACCAAAAATACCCCTAATGTTTGATAAAATAGTTACTTTGGTCCTTATTATTTTTTGGAGCACTTTAGCCCCTAAAGTTTTATTTTTGGGCAAAATGACCACTAGTTAGATGAAAATCATTAGTTGATTAACAATCAACACTTTTCACTAACGTGTTAATTCCTATTTGCCCAAAGTGATGACATATAACACTTCACGTGTTCAAAGAAACGATGTGTCACACATCATGTGTACACAAGTGGTGATGTGGCATATATCATGCGTGCATAAGTGATGGCATGACAAGTGTCATGTCTATGTAAGCAATTACGTGACATATATTATGTCATCGCTTTGGACACATAAGACTTATCATGTCAGTAAAAATGACATATTCAAAAATTTAAAAATGAGATCCAAAATTTAAAAATTCATTTTCTTTAACAAAATGGATATGTAAATTTCCTCTTTTTTTCTCCTTTTCTTAATATATTGAACTAAATCTAATAATTTATCTAAAATAATAGATATGTACTTGGTCCCCTAGGGGCCAACTGCATTCATCCCTTGTTAACAACAAACATTTATCATTAGTTAACTAACAGTTCCAATCCAATCGGAGTATTTTGTCCTAAAATAAAATATTAAGAGATAAAGTGCTTCAAAAAACGAACGAGTCAAAATGACTTTTATAAAATGTTAATGACAAATTTTAGTTATTATGTCTAAATATTATAAATATCTAGATTTTTATGAATATTTCTAGACATGATTATTAATATTATATTGATAATAAATATCAAGATAATTATTATGAATTATCTAGAAAGAAATAAAATGATGATTTTTTAACATTTTTATTACTTTTTAATGATTCATATTTGTTTGATGTATAGGATCAAATTTCATCCGGACAGGTCTCACCCCCCATGGAAAGTGAAGCATTGGTTGTGAAGGACTTGGAGCATAACGAAGGGACTAATGTCACCGACAACCTTGTTAAAGATTCAAACTCTGGTCCAGCCCCTACCAATATTGCTATATTCTTCATGAGTCTTGCCTTAGGCTACTAAAAAAATATTCAAGTTCTATTTCATCTAAAGCATACAGTGGCTCTAGGCGAGATTCGGTATGATATTGATCGATGTTATGCTTGCTCTTTGTCCTTAATATCATCTACATTTGCATATAGTTGTGAAGATTGTCAATTTAACCTCCATCCTATATGTGCTAAAAACTTAAAGCGATCCTTGAAATGTAAGTCCTATTTAGATTACTTATTATTTCGGGACAGATTATCAGTTACTCTATGTAAACTCGAATCCATCATGAGAAACATATTTTGCTTGTTGTAAATGTGAAAAAAAAAATTGTAAAGGATAGTTCTTTCACCGTTGTTTGAAATGTTCTACCAATTTTAAATGGGAAACAGATCTTTGTGATGCTTGATAAGTCGACAATGTCTGAAGGTCTGCGTGGCACATTAAGTCTATGTGCATGTGTTTGCTGCTAGTGTTTCAATCATATTTGGAGAGGGGTGTATTTTCTTTTGCTGCAAGTACTTCAATCATATTAGCCTGAGTTCTTTCGCTAGGACATACTTCCAGATAGTTGCAGTGTATAGGCAGGATTGATGAAGCCATAGTGCAAGGACTCTTCTTTAGATTGAGCCTACCTTGGCGCCAAGTTGAAGAAATTCCAGAGTGCGATGAATATGTCACGCAATCCGGTAGATATTCTATCATTTTGATAATCATCAAGCACGAGTGTCCGAGGCTCCCCTATCGACGTCAATGGGGTACTTGAAGTGGAAAAGGCAAATCAAGTTGATAAGCATGGAGGTATCACCGTGGCATTGATTCGGTCCATAAGCAAATTGGTGCTCCCGATGAGCATCTTTCAATTAACACGGAAAATATTATTGGAAATTGTCTTATTTGCATGTGTTTGGGTTGCATCAATCTTTGTTGAAGCTAATACGATTTCTCCTCTGCTTCAAGATGGTGAATTTGATATTAAGGGAGAAGCTGCACAAGCCATCTCAAATGGCTACCTCTGGTGGAACTCATGACCAGATCAGGTATTTTTCTATACTTCAGATTCCAATTATGTGAGACAACGATAGCTGCTTTATTCGTATTTTGCAGCCAACAAGTTGTTCAAGAGAAAAATCTGTAATTTATTTTCTAGTTTTGTCCGTTTAACAGTCTAATAAGAAATTAATTCTATCAAGACAAGTAGGTTCACAAAATATATAATAAAATACTTTTATGAAATATTTAATATTGTTGTATCCTCAAGATATCGAACTAAACACGTTGCTTAAACTGAGACAAAAATTATTAAAAAAATAATAAAACAATATTTACTTAAATACTAAGATAATTAAAAAACTGAAATTCTAAAATTAATACATTGATATAATTTTTAAAAAAAATATAAAAATCTTAAATTTCAAAGTACCTAAATTCTAATACTATAAAAGATAAAAAAAAATATTCGATTAAACATCCAGAATGCTAACATAAGGTTTTGTAACAGATCCGATGTACAATTTGCTTTTAAACTCTTTAACTTCACTGATTGAGTTGAAAGCAATTGCACCATTCCCGTCCAAACGCTTCAAAACTTTAGCTTCTTGGTTAAATTTTATTGCAATCGGATCTGGAATATCATTTGGAGCTGTTCCTGATCTTCCTGTATTAAGGGCTACCCAGAATTCACCATTTTCGTTTCTCTTTATATTATCTGGAACCCTAGGTAGTTCAGCGAATACTTCAGGAGCATTGCTTTCTATTTTTTCTTCACCTCCGAGGTTAAACTTCAGAATCCGCATTCTTGTTGATTCGGCCACTAAAACAAAAGATCTGTTCATACTCAGAGCCACTCCATTCGGAAAAACTAAGCCATCATATAATACATACACCTTTCTTGTATATGGATCATATTTTAGGAGTCTTCCAGTTCTATCAGTTGACCTTAACAAAGAATCAACATCCCTACAAAATCACAAACACACAAATAACTATATAATTATATGTATATATCAGTATAATAAAATTAATAATAAAGATAACGTACCTTCTTTGAAAGATAATACTGCTATCAGTGAAATAGATCATCCCAGTATTTATATCGATATCAATCCCGTTTGTGAATCTAAACGGAATTCCTTCGGCTGAGATAGCCAATCTTTTAGCTACGCCACCGTATGGTCCAACGACCGATAAACCAAAGTAGGCATCAGCTATATATAAACGACATGTTTCGGTGTTGAACTTTAAACCTAATGGTCTCCCACATAAGGGTTCAAGATTGGAATTTGTCGATCCATCACACAAACTCCTTTTCCTAAATGGTGAACTGATAGCAAATTCCGTCCACCCAAATTTCGATCCTTTCCATTTTAGGACTCTTCCATCCGAAATACCAACATAAGGACCTTCGCCCTTACAATCAAATGCAATGCTTTCAGGACCGGTGCCTTGCGTTATGTTTATCTGATGATACTTTTCGGTGGTAAAATCAGCATTGGATTGTAAGATGTGAACAAAGAATAATAAAATATAAAAAAACTTGAATGAACCAAATTTCATCATCATTGATTGAAAAAAAAAACAACCGTAAAAATTATAAGAATCAACTTCTATGGAATTTGATTATTTATGATACGATAAACACAATATATATAGTAGTTGATTTAGAAAAAATCAAATCAATTTCAAGTCAAATCAAACCACTGTTAATTAAAATTTCGATTGGAAGTAAATTTGTTATTAAAAAAACTTAATATAAAAGATGGAGTTGCATTTTGTTTATAATATTGCACCTGTAATCGAACTATTATTATTATTATTATTATTATTATTATTGAAGAAATTATTATTTAATACACCTTTAACTTTAGCCATGTCTTAATTTAACAATTATCATGTATAATTTTATTTACTTTGTTTTATAAGATAAACAAGTCTTGTTTGGGATAAATTATAGATATATCAATTAAGATTAACACAATATTTAATTATACTATATATTTAATTGAATTTTTTTTGAACAGAATCAAAATTGCTATTTGATATAATAAAACGATAAAATAAAAGAAAAATGATTGTTTAATTTTAATTCATCTTTTAATTTAATCATGACATTACCCTTCAACCTTCTCAATATATCTACAGTGCCGGGAAATTTATTATTAAAATAATTAACAAAATAGAATCTTTTTAGTATTCAAACACCTTTGCAATTTGTTAGTTTTATTTATTTCTCTAGCGAACTCAATCTTCGATTCAACTATCGACATTTTTCTCGAATTTATAATTTCAAAAACATTTTTATAATTTTTTAAAAAATTATAATTTTATATTTTTTAAAAATTATTTAAAATACAATTATTGTTTAAAATATAAAAAATACTAAAATAAAATTTTGGTACAACTTATGAACCGAATGAAATATTATCTATTAATTTAATATGTCATCTCCTCGACAACAATTAATAACATGGTGTTCGTTTTAGAACAAAATCAAAAGTTTAATATTTATTTTATAATTTTTAAAAACTTAGTGACTAAAAACTCATCTTAACATGATTTAATTATCATAGTTACGTAAATAAAGTTAAATTAATTATTGTGATTTGTGAGAGAATGAAAAATGATGTCAACCATTCCTATTTAAGTTTCGTGATTATCTCTTTTTACAAAATTATCTCTAAGATGGAAATCTAAATATTTTTTTAGGCTTTTAATAATATAATATATTTTATCATTACATTCAATACTTATTGATAAACGATCCTCCTCTTTAATCGATAAAAATTTATTTTTTCTATAACCTTTATAAAGATTAATTCTTTAAAGTAATATTGTTGGAAAATAGATTATAAATTTTGAAAATAATAATTAATAAATATAGAAGATATCGGATATATATATATATATATATATATATATATATATATATATAATCGTATTTAACTAGTATTACTTATTGTACAAAAGGATGAAAAGTTGAAAACTAAAACAAAAAGATGGTATGGTGAAATGGGTTGACTTGCACCAACTTACAGGTTTGACTCACTCTTGCACTTCTGGCTTTGGAGCTTGAGGGCTAAAACGGCAATGGTGAACTGGCATTCGGATGTAACAACCGCATGCTTCTTGAAAACCTTCAGGAACGTAACTCTGCCCGGAATCCGTGTTCGAGTATCCACGACCAGTTCGCCGTTCAATACATCGTCGATCAAAGCTGTTATATTAGACGCCATCTCATCAACCTGGAGTACAAGCCTGCTGGAAAACGTAGCGGAGCTCCTAGCCGGTATGTCACCCGGCGGGATGTCAGCCTCCCCAAACTGATCACCTCGATACAAAAGGAAACTCTTTCCCGGACCATGCTTGAAGCTGGCATGGTTCGGATTTTCAACAAGGAATTGGAGATTCAGCGTGATGTTCAGTTGAATATTAACAACAGGGAACGAGATGCGAGGAGAGACTCCATCGAGTGCTGCTGAAATGAGCTTGGTTCTAGGCTGCTTGGCTTTGAAGACGGTAAAGGCGAGGATGAGAACGATGATGGATGACAGCAAAAGGCATCCGAGAAGCACGCTGGCAACAGTTAGACACCGGCTTTTGTAGGCTTTTCGCCTCTGTTTCGTCACGGACACTTGTTCGTATCCTTCCATCGTTGTTCTGATTTTGGTGGAAAAGAAAGGGTCCAAGTACGGTAAAGTACCGAGATTCATGACATTAATATGCAAGTAGTTGGATGGTAATTAGCTAACAGTTGGGAAGAGAGGGCTTTAAATGTCTGAAGCCGACAGCTGAGAGTTTCTTAAGCAGAGTAATACTTGTGGGCTTGTGGCATTACACTATGTTAGGTCAATTCAGTATTCGATTTTCTCTATTGTTTCGCTCATCGAGTGTGGGATCATTTAATGCACGGTCCGAGTTTTCAACCAAACAATCTTCTCCGCTATCCTTGGAATTTATAACAGAGACCTTAACGTCGAACCACATAACAGAAATTTCAATGCATTGGCTAAATGGTACAGCATACACAACAAATCTGTTCAAACTTTTCGAAAATACTACAGCGTTCATCATACGTGATCAGGCACAATGCATTAAAATTCACTCTTATTCGACCGAAACATAACCATTTTGTAAACATAATCCTAGACGATGAGCGTAAACTCCATCATCATCATCAGATATTTTCCTCACTTGACGTATTTGGTGAACCACTCCAGCATATCTTTATGAGCTTCGTTAGCGCAGGACACAACTATTGGATCATTGACATCGTACCTGACCGTCCATCCATGAGAACATTTAGGAAATATCTTCACAAAGTTATCGACCTGCAAGAAAAAGATATTGTTTTGTAAGAAAGAGAATTCAACATTTCGGGAAGAACAGTTTAGCTGCGGATCTAAAGGGAGACAAACAAAAACTCTGGTGTATATATATAGTTAAAAAAACTCAAATCCTATCTAAAATAAATAAATTGTCAGGTGAAGCATATAATATGGTATATGAATCGCAATTGAATACAAAAGATACACAATGTGGGGTGGGGCTTTCAACACCTAATCTTGTCTTTTCTAACTAAATTCTTAGGCTCGATATTTTTTTAATAGTTTAAGGTGATTACAAAATAATATTTGTTCATAATTTTCATAATCTATTAATACACACTCTACAAACGTAGCTGCTCGAACCCTAGTTTTATAGGGAGAACAACATTCCTGTTACCATTGAGGCCACTCAATGAGTAGGCTCGTTCAGTAAGGATAACAGACGGACAATAATATGAAACCAGTCATTAGGCCTTCTTACCTTGTTGGCTTTTAAGATTTCCTCGAACTGTTTTATAAGTTCCGGGGGAGACCTTTGGTCAATCTCAGCTCCCAATATCGCAATAGGCACCTTCACACCTACGAAGGATAACACAAAAAAAGTATGAGAATTGGTGAAAAATCTCCATTAAAGAATCATCTAAGAACTTCAACCAAACCCAAAATTTCATTTTTTGCAAAAGCATCATCAAAAACAGTTTCATGCTACCGATTATGGAAAAAGAACTATTTTACAGCATGGAAGACGCCTAGTTTTCTCATCTCTAAACTGTTGCATGATTTTGAAAGGACACTTTTAGAAGGTGCTCAGGTAACAATGCCCTCCTGAAAATAAACTGAATCCTAATGTAAAAAACATTCTCCGAGAGTTCAACCGGCAGTTTTGCCCCAAAGCTCAGGAGACCTCACCTTGAAGTCGATAGATCCAAACCAATTTGCAATTAAACGATCATATCATAACTGAAATATTAATATATTTATATATATCTTACCCTTGATATCATCCACTGTCACAAAGGAAGGATGTAACATCACAGCTGCTTGGATAAGGGCAACCTTTGACAGTTCAACCACAGCTTTAGCTGAGGTAATCAAAAGACTTGGTATTAGCCATCTAGTAAGTGATCAAAGAATTAAATGAAAAGATAATATATTGGAGCAATAAGTGGTGCAGACTGCAGAGCATGCTTGTGTAAACACGGTAAATATACTGTTATGAAACCACTTGAAGTATAGTGAAAAAATGAAAACTCACCACCCCAACAGAACCCAGCAGATCCAATTGATGAAACCCCTTTACTTTTCAAAGCATCAATTATTAGCTTTGCATCCTCGAAACCTTTAACCTAAACAAGCAATTGAATGCATAAGGGCATAAAATTTCAAATGTGATGCATCATTCAGCATTAGATACTTCTGTAGTTAGAAAAAAAAGGGCCACTAACCGGTTCATGATCCTTTAGCCAAGCAGCTATTGGTCTATCAGGCTTGTCACTGTCGTAGGGTTCTCCATAAAAGAAGTCGGGAACCACCACATAGAACCCAGCAGATGCAACCTTGTCTGCAAGCTTTCTATACAATCAAAAGCAGCTGAAATTAGGTTCAAGGTGTTGGTACACTTCAACTCAAGAAGCTAGATAGAACAAACCGCAAATTATAAGATAAAGCAAGGGTATAGCATTTGCAGTCATTCTGGATTATGTACAATAGTGTTGTCCATGGTGCAAGGCACACTCTAGGCGCTAGAATCCTTATATTGCCCAAGTTGTAAGAAGCAAAAAGGGAAAAAAGCATTTGCTCAAGTGAAGTAAGACGCTATATATATGTGCATGTTTTTGTATGTGTGTATTTATATCTGAAATAAGCCGGAGAATATAATAAGTTAATAAACTCTAAAAAAGTGGTATAGTTTGTTCTACAAAACATGTAAAATCTGATTTGGGGAGTTTTAGTTATATTCAGGAAGACATATTCAACAATAGTTGCTTTTGAGATTTAGGCTTATTTGATACTTGTTTTATATATGAGGTGTGTTTTAAGTGGTTCATTCCTTTCGCGCTTCGCTTATTATGCTAGGCGGCGCAAGCCCCATTACTAGCTTTTAATTTGAAATAAAAATTTCTAATCTCAATATGTGTGTGTATAACTGTATATGACAGTACGAGGCTTGAAAAATAACATCTTCATTATTCAGAGTAAAAACTCGACTTGCCAGTAGTAATAGGAGAGATAATAAAGGCAAAAATCATTGTCACAATAGCACAACTAGTCTTACCTCAAGTTTGGAGCCTCATATCCTGCAGAGCCATGAGAAGAACAGCGAAATTAGCTGATGATAAAAAAAACAATGGCAATGACTATCATCATCCTGGATAAAACAACTATATATACTTCATGGAACAGAGATAAACAATTGCATAAACAAATGCTCAATGAAAGCAAATAAATAGTAAAGAAAATTCTATCCATAGCCGGCTCATGGGGGGATAAGCATGAGCTCCAGCTCACAGCCCCATCTTCCACCTTCACAAAATAATGAAAATAATGTGTTTGACAATATTGTAAGTTAGTAGCTGCCCCTTATTGTTTTAGTTGTATTTAAAATGTTTTCTTAACAAAACAATGAAAATAATGTGTCTCGCTGAGCTTAGTTATGTTTCTATGGTTTATTAATAAAATATTAAAATAAATGTTCAAACTAATGGAATATGCTTTCCTTCTATAGTTCATCTTTTATGAGTTTTCGCTCATGACTCCGAGGATGTCCGAGACGGTTCTGATTATATCGTAGATGTAGTATGCTTATATATATCCATAATCAATACAAACCCCAGATATAATATGTTCAAAAACATCCATAATCAATACAAAATTCTGATTGCCCCAACATCCTTCTGATCTAGTTTCAAATCGAATGTTTCTTAAAATACATAAAACCCAGATATAATATGTTAAAAAATTTATGCAAAAGAATTGCATAACACGGGTGAAAACAAAAGAACTCGAAGCTCTTCGATTCCTAAACAGACCCATTTCCTAATAAATTTCACACAAAACCCAATCACAAAATCCACCTTAAAGACTGAAGCAGAATACTGAAGAGAGGCAAACAAAAAGAAAAAAGTTAAGGGCTTGTGTATAAAGTACCGTAAATATCAGAGACAAGAAGAATAGCACGCTTGGATTGGAGGGATCCAGAGACATAAGTGTTGAAGCCAGCAAGGTTCTCGACGTGACCAGCTCCGCTTGCAGCGTCCAGTGTTGGTGGGTTTGAACAGCACTGAGGGCCTGACATGGTTCTTTTTCTCTTCTCCTTTTAAGTAAAGCAAAAGCTTTTCACTTGCTTTGATTGAAAGCACGGTATAAATAGAACAACACCAAGAAGTTCAAAGTAGATACGGGAGATTTCCAGGGGAAAATGAAAAATCTGGGCTTTTGCCAATGGGGACCTGGATTTTGGGTAGGTAGTGGATAAAGATAACAAGATGAAAGTTGGGGTGGGTAGAAATTATATAAAAATATTTTTAAAATGTTAAAAAATAAAATTCTTTTTAGATATTTTATATTTTTAAATATTTTCTGACATAAAAATAATTTTATGACTTGATTTAAGAAAAATTCAAATTATCTCTTCAATTTAAAAAAAACACATATTTTAAAAAAAAACTCATTTTTAAAAAAAAATACTCTTAAATTTCATAAAACTCCAAAATATTTGTTCAATTCCGTGGTCGACTACCATCATCTTATGTGATCACCCATCATCCTCCGATCACTCATTAATTGTGATGGATGTGTGTATTAGGATTTAGAGATTTAAGGTTTGAATTTAGAGATTTGAGGTTTAAGATTACAGGTGACGGTCGACGATAGGTGGATAGACGATGATGGGTGAGTAGACTGCCAATGAGGACGATAGCATAAGGGGTAACTAACAAGTGGGGTTGATGCTTTAGAAATAATGATTTTAGAATTTTTTTGAACTTTTAGATAAATTTTAGGGGTTTCAAGAAAAATAATAATATTTTTTAGTTTTTAATGAAATTTCAAAAGAATCATAAACACACCATATGTCACATTGTGAGTAGTTGACTTTATCTTTTTAACTGTCATGATAGATCAAATACTTAAAATAGTAACGTCGAAAATGTAAACACTTATATTGACCGAAAAATATTTAGATAGGAAAATATATAGTCTGAAAACTTTTTATATTAAGCCTAATTTTATTAGTTATTTCATTCTATTTTAACCATGCCACAAAATAAATTAAGATATATAATAAAATTAATATTAAGAGTTCAAATTTTAATTTTATGAATGAAATAAAATTAATTAGAAATATCATTTTTACAATATTCTTATAATATTTAATTTAGATTAATCAATCAATAAAATATATATAAATAATTAAAAATAAAAATAAAATACCATCACAAAAACAATGACTTTACATTTTTAATTCAAAACTCAAACAAATTTGATAAATACTTTAAATATGAATTTATTTTAGTTCAATTCCTTATTTCACCACAACTGAGTTAAATTTATTTTTTTTATTTTTAATAAAAACGTAATATCAGTTAAATAAAATTCAAATGGAAACCTTTGATTAATTGATATTCTGTTTAAATGTTTGTTAATTTTTGGATTAAAAATTATAACAAATATATATTTTAGATATTAGAATGGGATAAAAAATGATTTAGATACCAAAATAAAAAGAGGTACTTACTTTAAGGGTCAAATTGTGTATTAAGTCTGATTATTTTATTATAAATAGAATAAATTGGATTAAAAGAATTAATCTTCTAATAAATCTTTAATCTAGAATAATAGATCAATAAATAAAAATAAAAATGTGAACCTAACGGCACAGACTTTTAAACGAAGTAGGGTCAGTGGGGATGCATGCGGCATGCCAATTACAAATCATTTGTGGCTCTAAAATTCACAGCGTTATGGAGTAATAAATATCATTGATGTTGATTTGGGACGTGGTTCCGGTCGGATCCTCTGAGGTTATACATGTCGTTTCAGGTTAACTTAATATAGGTTAAATTAGTTCGGATCATTTTTAAGTTGATTTAAAATCATATTTAATTTGGGTTTGAGTCAGGTTAATTTTAATTCGGATCGAGGTCAATTCACATTAAAATGGTTCATGTCTGAATTAGTTAAATACTAAGTTAATTCATGTTCGGATGGACTTCAAATCACAACTCATTCATATTGAGTCACATCATTGATAGATAAAATTCACGCCGGATCTTACCGGGTATGGATTAACTTCAGGTCGGGTCATTTTTTGGATAATTATTTTTTGCATTTCATGAACATCAAATTGTAATTTATAATTGTATATGATTTTGGAGTAAATTAAAAAATATATAAATAATTATGAGTCAATTTTGACAAAAATATAATTTTAAGGACTAATTTGAACGAGCATGAAATTACAAGCTGAAATTTAAATAAATTAAACAACATGCATGGATGAGGGATCAAATTGAAATAATTGTAAAATGTGAAGTTGAAATTAATATAAAAAATGGATTAAATTGCATCTATTTAAAAAGTTGGTGAACAAATATAATTTTAAGGACTAAATTGAAATGACGTTTATTATGTTATTTATAGGGTTTGAAGTAAAATAAAAAAATATAAATAAGTATGGTCCAATTTTAGATACAAATATAATTTTAAGGACTAAATTGAACAAATATGAAATTACAAATTTAAATTTAAATAAATTAAACAACACACAGTCATCAAATCGAAATAATTATAAAATGTGAAGCTGAAATTAATATAAAAATAGGCTGGATTGCATTCATTTTAAAAGTTGGGTAACAAAAGTTTATAGAATTTTAGATATTATAATATAATTTTAAAAACTAAATTGAATAAAAATAAAATTACAAACTGTAATTTTAGTATTTCTAATTACTGGTGTAGGCAGTTGGTTTTGCCTAATAAGGTTATTAGGCAGGTTGAGCAGCTTTGTATGAGATTCTTTTGGAAGGGTGATGACACTCCTGCTAGGGGGGCCAGAGTTAGCTGGCATCAAATGTGCTGGTTAAAATCAGAGGGTGGTTTGGGTTTAAAGAGTCTAGGTTGTTGGAACAAGGTGTGTTGTTTCTTACTGATCAGGAACATCTTAGCAAATACAGAATCACTTTGGGTGGCCTAGATCAAAGAATATGCTCTGAAGGGGACTGTTTTTGGGAGGTTAGTCCCAAGCCTCAACTTAGCTGGATCTTGAGAAAACTTCTTAAGCTCAGTAATGAAGTTGCTGACTTATTTGGCAGTGTAGTGAACTGGAGCATGGTTAAAAGTAAGTGGGTGTGGGAGAAGTTGAGAGACAAGAGGGAGAAGGTAAGATGGGAGCATTTGATCTAGTTCCCCTTACATGTTCCAAGAATGTCAATTGTTGCTTGGATGGCTGTTTTGAATAGGCTCCCAACTAAGGACAAGCTCATCAATATGGGAATGGAGTTGGATGGATGTTGTGATCTCTGTAATTCTGGGTTAGAAGGAAGATATCACCTTTTCAATGACTGTGCTTTTGTTGGAGGAATTTGGAGTAAGGTTCTGTTGGCTTGTAGAATCCCCCACAAGGTTCTGTGTTGGAGTGATACATTGACTTGGCCAGCAACCAATTTTCAGGGGTAAATCCTTGCTAGTCTGTATTTTGAAGCTAGCTTGGATTAGCCTTTTATACTTTGTTTGGGAAGAACGTAACTTCAGGCGTTTTAGAGGGTGTTCTCGGGCAATTGATGATATTTTTGAAAGTATTAGAAGGCCTGTTAGTGCTAGGTTACATGGTTGGAGCATTAACAAGTCTGACAGTGTTAATCTTCGGCTTTGTCTGGAATGGAGCATTGGCTAGTTTGATGGCGACTGTTGAAAATGTTGTGGGCTACCTGGTTGTTCACCTGCAGATGTATATGCAGCCCTAAGGGTGGCTACGCCACGGGAAGCTTGTTTGCTTCCTTGCATTTTGTTGCTCTGCTTTCTTACTTTGTTTATTTTGGTTGATCTGTTTTGGAATGGTTGTCACCTAGGCTGCTAGCAGGGGGTCGATGTTTATTGGTTTTTGGTAATTTGTATGGCTTGTAGCACGTTACTGTTCCTTCTTTTGGGTAATAAAAACCAAATTATCCCAAAAAAATAAACTAAACAATAGGCAACGATCAAATTGACACAATTATAGTATTAATATATATATAATATGTATGATGAATGTTATGTTGCATGTATATATAATATATTCATTATACTTATGCATATAAATAAATGCAATTTAATCTGTTTTTATATTAATTTTAGTTTCACATTTTATAATTATTTCGATTTGATCTTTTCATGTTGTTTAATTTTTTAAAATTTAATTTTTAATTTTATATTTGTTCAATTCAGTCACTAAAATTATATTTGCATCTGAAATTGGTCCATACTTATTTATATTTTTGTAATTTGTTTCAAAGCCTATAAATCACATAATAAACTTCATTTCAATCTAGTCCTTAAAATTATATGTGTTCACCAACTTTTTAAATGGATGCAATTTAGTCCATTTTTATATTATTTTCAACTTCACATTTTATAATTATTTCGATTTGATCCCTCATTTACGTGTGTTGTTTAATTTGTTTAAATTTCAGTTTGTAATTCATGTTTGTTCAAACAAGTCCTTAAAATTATATTTTTATCAAAATTAACTCATAATTATTTATATATATTTTTAATTTACTCCAAATTATATACAAATACAAGTTACAATTTGATGTTCATGAAAGGCAAAAAAAATTAACCCAAAAATGACCCGATCAAAAGTCAATCTGTACCTGATAAGATCCGACTTGAATCTTGTATGTCAATGATGTGGCCGATCTGAACGAGATCTGACCTGAAGTACATCCGAACCTGAATTAATCAGGTATTTAACTTTTTAGACCTTAACCATTTTAACTTGAACTGATATCGATCTGAACTAAAATTAACTCGACCCAAACCTTAACCCAAATTGTATCTGATTTCAAATCAACCTGAAAAATATCTCTAACTGATTTAATCCGGACCCGGTCTGATCCGATTCGAACCATTAAATTGATAAACACAATTTGTCTCCAATTTAACCTGACCTAACGAGATCCGACTAAAACATGAACGATTACATGATCTTACATCCCTAACCACACCAACTTTTAAACGAAGTAGGGTACGAGGGGATGCATGCGGCATGTCATTCTGTTAAGTTATTATTTGTGATTCTAAAGTTCACGGCGTTATGGAGTAATAAATACAATTGATGTTGAATTGTTGATCAAAAGATAAGGT